CCTCTATTGTTCAAGGTCCCCAATTGAATGCAGAAACAAACTCACATACACTGTTCGAAGGTGGGTGAGACAAACTGTGATATACTCGGCAAGATCTGGGACGGAGGGAGTCCCCTTCCACACGTCCAAACCCTACAGACACTACTATTGTTACCTAACACATCCCACCAGATGTCTGAAAAGAATTCCTGAGATTCTGATACAACAGTGACTGACACAAAGGTGGGGGGGGGATCTTAGTCCCATATCTTATTTCAAATATACTAGTAATGTATCCTTAATGTGGAAGAGTGCCATGCGCAGGAACAGCTGTACCGAGATTAGCAATCTACATTTTGAGGGCCTTGTCTTTCGTTGATTTATCTGGATCCCTATCCTTTGGTTACCTCCTAAATCTTACCCGTATTTTACAATACACTCTGTGTATATTTCCTCTTTTGAAGTGACCTATCACTATTCAATCAAGGATTTCTCCCCTTTTTCAAATTTCTCTTTTGTAGTAGGCCAGTAGTCTAATCCCTCACGATCTTTTGCCCTGTAATAAACGAATTCAGTAAAATGTATCTTTAAAGCATATTACTTGTGAATACTTTTGGTATTTTTTTCCATTTTATGAAAGCATAACCCTAGAACCCTAGAAGCCCTTTTTCGAAAGTTTTCAGGTATAATAATCTTTCATCAACTGTCGTTTCCATTTCTAGGACTGTATTATTACTGATGGTCGGCTTGCAATACGGGCAATTCACAGTAGTGCGCTTCCAAGAGTTTGCAATGCGTTGGCCAATCACAATACGCGAAATCTGTCAACCCATTCGAAATTTCCAAACGCGCATTTGGTCGACAGATTTCGCGCATCGAGATATTGGCCAACACCTCCCAAAACTCTTGGAGTCGCACTATTATTGCGAATCGCCCGTTTTTCATTGTCATTAAGCTAAAGATTTGAACAAGAACTGTACCGAAATGTTTCTATCCAACCCTTATAAGTCTTTCCGGATTACTTTATTCTGACGTGCATGTAATGTTGCTTCATCTCTAGTTTGTATTAGCGTTCCGTAATCTTGACAGCATGCGTGCGTGGATGAATCTTGGGGCTGGCGCCGTGTACTTTGTGTGTGTGCATGTTGTGGCAAAAAGTGGCCAGAGCTCTGCGTATTTCCATTGACCTGCAAAAGATGCGAGAGTGACTCAACGGGCTTGGCCAGTCGGATGGCAGCATTTTACTAGCGAGCATGCCCCTATACCTTTTCGCTCAGACTACTTTCTTGGTATGACGGGGGTGGGGGCATCCACCAGGCTGGTGTAACAGTCCTGTAACCAGCCTGGGAGTTGAAATTGTATGTGAACGCTCTTTATTTCAAAGAGAATGTTGCTGGCATTAAAACAGAAAACATTATTTGGAAATTCACTCAGCCTGTTTGGTGTTTGTTTCTGTACTCAGTGGTATTTTTTGGCAGGTAGTGTTTTGTCTGTGCCTTGGAGTACCTTGCTTCTCGCACATGTGCACGTCTCAATTTACAGTGGCAGCTGAGTCTTTTAAACTCACATGGGCAGATTTTTTTCCATGGCGAGGGTTATATTTTTGCGACCCTTAAACCAGAAACTTGTTTGCGAGGTCAAAGCAATAAACAGGAACATGTTCAGGGTGGCGCAAACAAACGAAGAACCAGAAACGGTTACGTCATTTGACAGAAGCAAGCGCGTGGAAGCAGATATGACACTGTTGATGAAAATCATTTTCACTCAATATTTGGAATGTTTCTCACCAGTGCTGCTGCTCTCTCCTTTCACGTTCCAGAAGACAGTATTTCTTTGATTGGCTTCATGTAAACAACAAATTTTGAAAGGTATCACTCTTTTGAGGGGCAACAAAAGTGATCCGTTTATTTTCCGCCATTTTCAACCGGCGCTGAACCAACTCCTACTTTGGTAATTTCCGTTCGGTCGGTACAAGGCACCACAGAGTCATTTCCCAGAAACGCTCAACCAAGGACGAAAGCTGAAACAATATCATGGTTCGGATCGCCAAAGCATGCCCCAGGTTGCATTATACCTACCATTTGCTTACGACTGATGAATTGATCATCAGATCATGCCGGACCCGTAGCCGTGCGTTGTTTCCTTCAAGAAACTCTGTGAAAGATCAGTAGTCGCCAGCGGCAACCGTGATGGGGACCATGGATTCGTGCATGGCTAGGATTTTTCTAGAATTTGCACAGACGTTCGCAGGGAGTACGCTCTTATTGAGCCGGGATAACTGAGTCGTTTCCGTTGGGGGAAGCGCTGTCCGAAAAGGAATGTTTAGCATAATTCATGTACTTGTGCCAGTTTTTGGAGGCGGAGAGGAGAGTAAGCACAAGACAAGGCGCATCCCTTCCTTGGAATTATGGAACCTCCTCCCAAACCCAGGTAGAAGACATTTACGAATCATCTGACCTGGAGTACTTTGAAAGGCTAATCCCCGCGCGCCTAGAGTGTATGTAAAATGAAATCGGAAGATGGGACTGCTAAAGGTTAAGGCCAGACTTGAAGCCATTGATGGTCTCAGAACTGCTGGGAAACGGCCGGTCTTGGCCTATTCTTGAGAACCACCAGCATCACATCGTTGGGACGTTTCAGGGTGCATTCCACCAAAGTATTTCTGCGCGCGAGCTCATTAATATTTTGTGATTCCACAGGCTTTTACAATAAGACATGCCATAATCAGGCATCATAGAAATATTTCTATAAATCCCGAATTTAGGACTGATAGTTTCCAGTACTTCTTTCACAAAAAGCCCCAAATTGCGGGCCTATTTTTGATGATAGAGGCGGGCGGCTACATTCAGAAATGAGAGCTCAGTTTTACTGCTATAATGGGGGTATCTTCGTTCAAGGGCGAGTAAAAAAATTTCTGCGGCTAACCCCCATGAAATTGAAACAAAAAGTGATCTTCTGGCCATAATCTTGAATTTCCAGTGAAAAGAAAACGGAGGCCAACCTCTTCACGATAGTAGGCGGCGCTATTTCGGTCCGATTTTGCACCGTTTCCTGTGTGCGCGTATTTGGTGTAGTGCAACCTTCATGAATAGCGCGCGTGCTTCATTTATTGTTTGAGCGGTGAGTTGCCACAGTGTGCATAGTGACGATGTCATTTTGGTTGTTCTTGAACAGTGCTTTCCATTCTTTGGGGGCTTTTTTAGACTACCGATAGCCTGGCAGTCACAGGTCTTGCGCTATGTAACCAATCACAGTGCGAAAATAATGTCTTCCTTGAAGCTTGATTCACAGCAACAGCGCCCTCATTTGTCCGAAAAACTTGGACAATTTTTAATGTTTACACACGTGCGCTTTTCAAAATAACCCCCAACAGGATTTCAAATAGTTTTTATTCAATGAAGAGGAGTGCACAGTCCTAATCTTGTAGAGACGCACAGGAAATGAGTCTGGGGAAAGTCTATTGCTTACTAGTCCTTTATTTTTTTCTTGTGAAAATGTTACAATGCATCGAGAGTATGATTTTATCGCAAATTTTGCAAAGACACGCAAGAAGTAAATTGATGTACGTGCGCTTAAAAAACTTGAGGCATAAAAGTGTTTGATGAGTTGTAATTACGCAGATACCATTTAGGAGACCCTCTCAAGTCTTGCTAGATGAACAGATAAGGCTTTAAAGACACAAATTCTAGGAAAAGGTTTATGCGTATTCATGTATTGAATAACAATGTAACTTGAGTAACAATACGGTGGAATGAATAAAAACTTGTGATATTTTGTTTGCTAAATTATTTTCTGAGTAATAAAGTGAAAAGGGCTGTGCCTTCTCACTACATAACTAACACTGCGCTTCTACATGTTGTTTTACGTTATGGAGACAGAAGTTTGCCATCTGCACATGTAGGATCCAGACAGTGGCTCTTGGTATATGGGGATCCAAAGGTACATGCATTTGGGCTGATAATGGGGGAGAAAAAATATAGCCTTTTATTTGGTAAAAGAATGTACCAATTTGTTTCTTTTTATTCACTTACGAAGTAATCGGAGTTAAAAAAATAAACAAAATATTTAAAAATCCGTCGGGAGGGAGGGGAGCGAAGTGCCCCCCTGCGCCACCCCCACTGGATATGCCAATGGCTCCAGACTTTTTAACTAGTTGATGAATAATGCATAAAAACATTGAAAGGGCATAAAGCACTGAAAGGGCGTAATGGAAAGAAATCAACTCGTTTGTTCATCCACCAAGCAAGCAACAAAATCGTGAATCGATTAATATGTAGAAGAATTGCCATGATGTCAGACGTCAGCAAAACTCCCTCCGTAGCTAACTGGCTGCAGCGCTATATAGTCCGGGAACCAGTCGTCAGATCTAGTCATCGACGAGGCTCTCGTGGTCGTACATGTACTCGCCCAGGCCGGGCCCGACACGCTCCAGCTGTCTCAGGTGATCGCCCAGCTCCTTGATAGCCTCCACTTGGTGGGTCAAAAAGTTTCGCTCGATCCAATCCTGCATCTTTAAAAATGAAACATATTGGCGTGTTATTACATGTTTAATAAAGCAAGAAGATTTTTAATTAACATCCACAGCAATAATTTGCGGCACATTTCACTTCCATTGGCCAGTTTTTCCTTTTGTGTTCTCCCTTCGTGCCAAAGCGGGAGGCGTTACCTTCAATACCTCGTAGTAGTTTTCCTTATTTCGCGTTTTGCAGCTGTCACTGTCATTGTTTGAACCAACCGCCAGTCATGGTTTGATAGTGGTGGCACTACTCCCATGAGGAATGCACGCGCGCGTTAAATAACTATTTGACCAATAGCATGCAAGGAACTGCAAAAATGCACGCGCTCCAGATGTCAAGAACATACATGTACTTGTGGCCGTGGGTGCAGTGCCAACGCATGCAGTAATGATGTCTCCTCGAAATAGTAAATAAACTTATAGCAATCTGTCGTTCAGACACACCTGAGGGTCACAATTTTTCTCGGCCACCTTGTGCAGTTCCAGAAGGGCCAGGTTGACATCCTTCTCTAAGCACAGGGCAGCGCACACCGCGTCCTTCAGGGTGCCCCAGGTATCATTCTTGGGCTTCTTGATGTCCTGCAGCACGACAACCCCACCGCGCTGGTTCTGGAACTTCATAAATTTCTCGGCGTGCTCGCGTTCCTCGTCCGAAGCCTTCTTGAAGTATTCATGAGCTCCGGGCAGAGCGACGTTGGTGTGTTGGAAGTAATAAGCCTGGTGGTAGGTAGGCAGATTAAAGCCAAAGTTTTGGGTGCACACCGTAGATAAATTGGAGACCTCTTAAAAGCTTGAAATTAATTTCATCAGATGTTATGTTTCTGTTTAAGGGAAGGTTTGGCAATTTGCTCTAAAGGAAAAGGTTCACAATCCAAATCTTGGCAAATAACAACCGCCTTTTGTGTAGCATTTAGATTTACTGAGCTGTTTTCTCCTTGGTACTGAGCAAAAGATGCAAGGGTGGGAAGTATGCTTGTGGTTTTGGTTTACTTGGGGCTCGTTTCATTTTTTGGAGTACAGATTTTCTAGCATTTGTGGAGGTCAACGAATAGAAATATAATAAAAGTTGATTTCAGGTAAATTTGTAATGTTATTTTCCACTGGACGTGTTAATGTTGCCGTGGCGGTCTCCAACAAAATAATATTATGTTTTCATTAATGGTCACGGTTTATTCGAAATTTCAGGTGATTTTTACCCTTAAATAAAAAAAAACATACTCAAGTCATAGTCTAGTATACGTTGTCTGTTATGAAACGCGACAGATCGCTTTAATGACTGTGCGCATGCCCGTTTTCAGAACTACGTACACGTACATAGGTGCACATGACAAACCATTCGTGAATGTCGCGACCAGTAATGTTTCTTTCACATGTAGAGCAGGCAGCGACACAGCTAGCCTAGCGGTGGTGTTATGTCACGTAGCATGCATGCCCTATTAATATGTACGTGACATAGGGGTCTTCTGCAATGACAGCGCCTGTGTTACCTCATGTGTAGAGACGTTCAGATTTTTAAATAGAGTTCCATTTAGGTATGGGGGGGGGTCAAAGCAAGTGAAGACCTTTCATTGTTATTATTTCTGAAACAAAGAACTTTCTTTTGCGTACAAGAGACTCTGGATTCACATTCTGACAACGTTTTCTTATAAACCACCGCATATGCATGAGGGAAAAATGACTGAAACTTTTCTTCCACCAGTAGACTGAAATGATCCATGTTGTGCCTGTCTTGTTTGCACAATGTTTTTTCATCGCCTACACAAAACTGCTGCCATTGTTTTCCTATCTTTCGAGGTTATTTTTCAAGTACCCGATTCTCAACATCTTAGTTGCGAATCCGAAGGTTGCTCCCCACTCATTGTACGTGCCTGGCTTTATTCTTTGTGTGGATTGAAATGTACCGAAATGAATGCAAGCTAGTGAAGGTTACACGTTCACTCCCAGATCATTTCTAGGTGTTGTATGAAAAGCCCCTTTTGTGTCAAATATTCTGAACTAATACCAATCAAATTCTCAGAAAAAAATTTACAAATTAGTTTATAATTTTAAGAAATGATAATTGAAATGTATAACTCAGACCTTGCCAATGATGGCGACTAGAATTTTTTCAAGTGTAGCTGCAAATGTTTTTAAACACAAATTTTCTGCAAATTTGTACTCTTCTTCAGTGTGTGGAAACTCTTTTACAGTCATATTTGTTTAAATTTATTGAAAAGTGCACTTTTTAAAATATTTAAAATCATCCACGCCTTCCAGGACAACTGAGGGCACTGTTGCCTTGATGTCATACAGGAAAGTCATAGTCCAGTACATTTCTGTTAAAATTACGAACCCAGAATTCACGAAGTGAAAATATTTCTGCGAAAGGGACTGATGTTTGCTTATTACTAAAAATGAGGAAATTAGCAAAGACAATTTAGTCCAGCAACATCAACAAACATGCAGCACCTTTTTGTCTACAGTGTAACATTGAGGTTTTCTTCCTGGGATGACATTTTTGCTCATAATCATGGAAACCATTCGCATAAAACCAAAAAAGACAGTAAAATACCCTTTGAAACAGTGAAACAAAGTTGAAAAATAAGGTTAACTGAGACATAAAATGTGCATTTTAAAGACGTGTCATTTGAAAGAAAATTGATTGCAGCTACCCTTTAAAGAAAATCTGTGATCTTACCATGGACAAGTACACGTAGGATGCATACAGTTCCAGGTTGATCTGCTTGTTGACTCCAGCCTCGCTCTCCTCGTGGTAGTTCTGGCGGATGGTTGCCATCTTGTCACTTGATTTGGTGCTTCGTCTCACAGGTTATATCATAGAAATCGAGAGCAAAAACTAGAACGTTGGGATGTATCTAAACAGAATTGCTTGGTTCCGACACTGCGAAAGCACAAACAATCCCACACTGTGTCGTTTTCCGTCTGCGCCACGGGATAATATATAGTTCCCCATCGGCTGTTCCATTTATTGAGCATACAGGGGTGGGACTTATTCATTTTAGGAATGCTTGTCAAAAATAACATCATAATTGACCCCATTGTGAAGCTCGATTCAACTAATAATGTGTTGTATGTTTAAACTCAGTTCTGTAAGGATATCAAATAACTGTCTGGTCGCTCATTGTCCCACAATCAAAAATATTGGGGGGACCTAATTACTTATTATGAATATGATAATTAGCTGCATCCTCAAACTGAAATCTGGTTGGATAATGCGTACCGGGGTATCATGACAAGGCAGAAATAACATGTTTTTATGACATAGGCCTAACGCCAAGCATTTCCGCAACCATTTGGTCTCCTTTATACATGCACCTTGGCAAATTTGTGTGATTCTGTTTAATCTCACCATTCCATCGAAATATATTTCTCGTTACACTAGTCATTGTCAGCCTCTGATCTGAAGAAGTCAAGTCACCAGTCGGTGTCACAAGCAACACCGAATACGACACAGGAGGACCTAAGTTCGTTTGGCGATATCCGGTGACCCGTCACATTGGCTCGTAGCCAAAGTGTCGAGGAACTTTAGTTTCGAATTTAACATGAATCCCGCTCTACTCGCAACTACAAATTGACTATGTCTGCCAATAGTGAAAAAACCATTTTAGGCAATAACCTTCATGTTTTTAACATACGATTTTTAATGCTAAGAAGTCCCTTACATGTAAAAGTTTTAATTAAAGAAAGGAATGCGAATTGAGCGCTTGGGGGATGGGTGTAAATCCCGGCCGGTGCCGGGCAAGATGATGGGGCCGGTATATACCCCCATCACACATACCTGTTTTACATGCAAAGTGTGGACATTCCTTTGTTTTCCTGTGGTTAATGGAAACTTGAGGAAAATGCTCCTTTTTCTCCAGCAAGGATATAACTCCGTTGAGCTGGATTTTTGATAATGATTTCTGGGACTGTTCCTTTTCATTTTGCCACAGATAACCTTGACCCTCAATGCCCCTGAAACTGTTTTTCAGAGAGGGAAACATCGTGTGGACTTGTGCGAGTCCACACAGCGCCATCGCACCCTACATTATGTGGACTTCTTTTGTACAGAGGTCCACCATGACACTATCCTGTATGCCACGCCTGCACACACTTTTTGAAAAGGGGGACGGGCTCCGTCTCCACGCATTTTTATGGTGAGAAATAAATTACATCGGATTTTGAATAATGTTTCAGACTTCCAACCGTGGGGGACGGGTACTTTGGATACTTGAGTGGGGGGAGAGAGACTCGAAATCAGTGAAACTAGTCCCACGGCGGCAACTGTGATGTATATTCTAACAGTGATTTATTCTGGAAAAAGGATGGCAGAAAATAGTCTGTGCTGAAATGTGTTGTTCACTCTAAAACACACACTGCCAAGAGTAGCAATTAAAAAGTTGGCAACGATCACTTGATAAAATAAGAATGCCAGTCAACTACATGTACATTGACAACCTATATACACGCATCCAGCATGCACCAACACATTAGTTATTCACATTACAGAATATAATATTTTGGTTGTCGTGTACGTGTACAAACTGAACTCTGGAAACAGTACTGAACAATCCGTTTGGCCACCACTCCTGTTACTATAGCAGCACACCTTAGCCTTGCACTTGCCTCCAATGAATAAACACAAAGGGTGCTTATGCAGTAAGCAATAAAACCACTCTGACCATATTCCAGCCTAAGCTAGCTTTCTAATCGGGCCTGCTCCTGTCAACATAATTTTTTTTGCTCTACCCGACATATTTCATAAACACTGAATGCTCAGTGTGTACACCCGAGAGCTTGTGAAAAAACGCAAGCTTGATTCGGGTAGGGTTCGAGCCCACGACCTCCTGCTTTCTAGTGCAGACACACAAGTGTGTATTTGCCTGCAACTGGGGACCCCCTTTTGTTCCTCTTTTGTTTGTACTTAAACTTTTTTAGAAGACCACCCGTATGTTTTGTACACAGTTGTCAATCGGGGACCCTCTGTCAATAGGGGACCTTATTGTCCTCTATTGTTCAGGGTCCCCAATTGAATGCAGAAACAAACTCATCTTAACCCACGCGACCACCGAACTTGCCGGAGTCGGCTGGCTAGTGCGAGTCAGATGTAGCAGCGGGTACCGCGAACAGTTATTTTTAAAGATGAATTTGCGTCGGGGAGATATTTTTTTTTGGGGGGGGGGAGTCAATAGAAGCAGACCACTGGCCAGACTCCAGGGTCTGATAAGTATGGTGGCCCTGAAGGGACATAAAATTCACGACTAATCGCGAATGTGTAGAACAACTTCACGTACAGTACATCAACTTTTTTAGACAATGAACAAATTTTTCCCGGCTAAACTACACTAAGCTACTAAAAGATTGTAGTTTTAAAAAAATTGAAAATAGTTGTTGGTATATGTAGAGACAATGTAATCTAAGTAAATTCGGTTACACAAGTCCCAAGTTAAACACTGAGCAAGGAAACAAACTTCAGCCACTATAGTATACCATTCTTACATCATATCCGACCATTCCTGCTTGAAGATTTGCAAAGTGGACTATAGGTAGGGGGTTTGTGGAGACCATATCTCTTTTGTGTATGTGTCTTTCTGAAAAGAACCGGTATTCTACGTTTCGGACTGTGAGTGCTCTGACATTCGTAAAGAGACTGCTGGATTCCAACTTAAGTGCTTGCTTAAACTACTGTGCGATCTCGACTCGGATTAGGCGTGGTAGAGTGGGATTCTGGCTGCATGTGTACTGAGGCTTCAAGGCGGAAACTGTGTCTGGAAGCTGAAGGTGCACCTGAAGCTGTTCATCCTGGCCTACCAGCATGTGCGGGACCCAGAGAGTGGAGGGAGCCTGGGGTATAGGAGACCCATGCGGCAGGTTATAATGTTATAATGGGGGAAGTGTCCGTTAGCAGGGAAGACCCGTATTGGACAAGATGGGGCGCCAGATGTCGCTGATACCGACGCCAATGTCTTGGGGAACTGTCTTGTGTTTTATGATCTCGATGGCCTCGCCTATACGTCGGGGGTGATATTGTTTGACGTTGTTGATGCGTTGTGCTTGATGCCATTGGATGGCGTGATCTGTTGCGTGTGTTTGAAGGTAGATGACTTGTCATTTCTCTAGGTCCCACACACACTGACACAGAAAGACACATCTGGAAAAGCAGCCTCAGGTCCACCTACAGCATCCGGAGACAGTTCCTGCCTTATAACGCCTCAGCATGCAGCCAGCATCCCACTCCGAGTCCACCACGCCTCATCCGAGCATGCACAGTACTTAAACAAGTACTCAAGTTGAGTTGGAATCTAGCAGTCTCCAGACGGACGGACAGAGCACTCGCTGTCCGAAACGTAGAGCACTAGTTCTTTTCAGAACCACACATACTCACAAAAGAGAAAATCAACATGGTGTCTCCGCGAACCTCCAACCTACCAAGCGTTCCTGTTGACGGACTATAAATCAAATTTCTTGAATGTCATAACTTGGGCAGAAATCTAGAAAAGTCAGACAACACCAGTCGACTATCAAGGCCCCCAAAATAGCCAATGACTATAAAAACGTTTTAGTTATCTTTAGGCCTAGTCTTTAAAAATCTTCACTCCTTGTTCTTTTAGGGACCACTTGCCCGTATCCACTCGCGTACAGGACGATCATAATGATGTACGTTTTACATTTAAGTCCAGGAGACGTGCTCCAGGGTAGGGCAATGTTTTGGCGTTATGGATCAAGCCAAAAATTGTTTCGTAGCTGTTTAGGAATCTGTGATCAGAAAAGGCTAGAAGACCTTTGAAAGTGCACGCCATTGCAACGAAATGCGTTTTTGAGCGTTTGAGGGACCATGTAGGCCTAAAATAATTACTTGTACTACAAGTTCTACATTCTTAAGAATTGCAGCTTTGTGTTTCTAGTACCTCTAAGCCAAGTAAAAAGGCTTAGCGCTCGGATTTTGAAAAAGAGGGAGGAAGCAGGGCATTTTATTTTATATATTTCTATTTGTCCCCAAGATGAATATTTTCCTTCGCTCGTCACCCAACAGGGCACTGGGAAGAAGTGATGGCCTTAATTGTGCACATTTTAGTGTAGGAAATACAATCGACGAGGCCACAGTTAATGACGCTCAGAGCATTGTGGGTAAATTTCTGTCAGGCTTGCGAGCTCGCTCAATGCGTTACACAAGCGGTGGTTATCAATTCGATTTTTTGTTCTTTCTCATTGCTGAAAATATTGCGACTGCATTTTATTCGTTCATCCATAATTGACCAAGATAACCAATGATTTGAGATATATCTCCAAAAGACACGTGATTAGTGATTTAAATAACGCTTTGCTAAATGCAGGAAGTGATAACCTTGCGGTCACAGGTCTTGCACAATGTAGCCAATCACAGTTAAAAGCTATCAGCCCTTCCCAGCGCCCTGTTTCCCGGCGCTGGGTAACGAGCGAAATATTTTCCTTTAATTAAGCTTGATTCACAGCAACAGCACCCTTTGTCCGAAGAAGCTAGGACAATGTTTACACGTGCGCTTTTCAAAACAACTCCAACGGGATTTCAAATAGTTTTCATACATTGAAGAAGAGCACACAGTCGTGATCTTGTGGAGATCACAGGACGTGAGTAAAAGTTTATTGTATACAGATCCTTTATTTTCTCTTGTGAAAATTTTGCAATGCATCAAGTGTAGGTCTCTGATTCTATCGCAAAATTTGCAAGGACACGCAAGACGGAAATTAATGCATGTGCGCTTAGAAAACTGAGGCATAAAAGCGTTTGATCAATTGTAGCGCAGGAACCATAACCTGCCAGTGATCAAGTGATCAAGTTTTACTGGATGGGCAGTGTTTTCAAAACAACAGACAGGGCTTTAAGTTGAAGACAAAAACTCAAGGGAAAGCCTCATGCATATACATGTGCTTGAAATTAATATGACTCGAGTAACGATTTGGTGGAATGCATAAAAACTAATTTTGTTTGCCGATTTTTCGTTTATTTTCTGAGTAATAAAGTGAAAAAGGCAGTGTATCCTAACTGCGTAACTGACACAGTGCTTGTAAAGTTAGAGAGCCTGGTTTGTTGTTTAACAATTCCTTCTACTAAGTTTTGTTAACTTAACTCAATTTAGTTACATGTATTATATGCAGAACCCTTTGCACGGGAATCGACCAGTATGTGGTTTGCGAGAATAAAATCTCCCTTTTGCCCTCTATACGCCGGGCCCTCTATGGACATGAGCCAGGAAACTCTAGCCAGTTGACCCAAATACCTTTACTACCTTTACTCAAATTCCATATTATGATTCAATTCTATAGGTTTTCTCTCTTTAATTTTCTTTAATCACTTGGTTATTCGCCACGTCAGCGACGGCTTCGAAGTAGAATAAAGGAATTACCTTTTTTGTTCTTGGATAAGCTCATTGTGGTAAGTGTTCCTTAATTCCTTTTCAATGATTATAAATGAATTGGAAATTATTGTATCAGAATTTACACCTAGCAATTACAAGTTGATTGGAAATAATTCATAGTTCATCAATTATTAGACAAGATTCTTGCGACAAGTAATCCTATTTAAATCATGTATGACTTTAAATATTGCTTATTAAGTTTAGTTTAGATTAGTTTAGTGATTAGATGTTAATTTTCTTTTAACGTAGATCAAGTTATCAACAGCATCATCATCGTCAGACATCGCTATTGTCATCGTCATCATATAGACAAAAAGTTGTCACCTTTTGAGCTGAGATACATGCAGAATAAAGGACAGTAATATGTGTGCACTATACTGATGCGTCCAATGTGTTGAGTTTTGGCAGTGGCAGATTCTCTTTCAAATATTTCCGTCACAGTGCCTCTACACATTATTTTACATTACGAGGACGAAAGTTTGCCATCTGCACATGTAGGCTCCAGGCAGTGGCTCTTGGTGTAGGGGGGGATTCATAGGTTAACGCACTTGGGGCTCGAACATTCTGGGCCTACTGGGGAAAAAATATAACCTATTTATTTGATTCATAAATATACCGATTACTTTCTTTCCTACTCACCCATGAAGTAATCTTTGTTGAAAAGAAATAAAAAAGTAATAAAAAATAATAAAACTCTATGGCTGGCTGCAGCGCTGTATAGTCTGGGAACCAGTCGTCAGATCTAGTCATCGACGAGGCTTTCGTGGTCGTACATGTACTCGCCCAGGCCGGGCCCGACACGCTCCAGCCGTCTCAGGTGATCGCCCAGCTCCTTGATAGCCTCCACTTGGTGGGTCAAAAAGTTTTGCTCGATCCAATTCTGCATCTTTAAAAATGAAACACACTGGCGTGTTATTATATATTTAATGAAAGCAAGAAGATTATGTACAGCCACTCTGTTAGGGCAGTAATAATTAGCAGCTCGTTCGACTTCCAATGGCCAGTTCTGCCTTTTGTGTTCTCCATTCGTGCCAAAGCGGGAGGTGTTACCCTTCAGTACCTCGTAGTGGTTTTCCTTATGTTGCGTTTTGCAGCTGCATGCCATTGTTTGAACCAACTGCACATTTGGAGCAAGGTATGGGACGGAGAGAACCCCCCCCGCCTTTGTGTTGGTCATTGTTTGATCAGAATCTCAGAAATTCTTTACAGACTTCTGTGGTGGATGTGTTAGGTAACAATAGTCTACAGTGTGTATAGGGATTGGATAGGTAAGAAGGTAGCCATCCGTCCCATATCTTGCCTGGTATACAACCGCTAGTCATGGTTTGACAGTGGTGGCAACACTCCCATCCTGTGTGTATGAGGAATGCTCATTTGAATGACTATTAGACCAATGGCGTGCAAGGAATCGCAAAAATACACGCATTCCAGACGTCAAGAACATACATGTGGCCATAGGTGCAGCGTCACCGCAGTAATGTTTCCTCGAATCAGGAAATAAACTAATAGCTATCTGTCTTTCGTTTAGGCACACCTGAGGGTCACTATGCTTCTCGGCTATTCCGTGCAGGTCCAGCAGGGCCTGGTTGACGTTCTTTTCCAGTTCCAGGGCATCATTCACTGCGTCCCTCAAGGTGCCCCAGGTATTTTTTCCAGGCTTCACGATGTCCTGAAGCACGACAGTCCCGCCGCGCTGGTTCTGAAACTTCAGAAATTTCTTGGCGTGCTCACGTTCCTCGTCTGAAGCCTTCATGAAGTACTCATGAGCTCCGGGCAGAGCGACTGTGGCGCTTTGGAAGTAACTTGCCTGGTGGTAGGTAGGCAGATTAATGAGTCAGCGGGCTGAAGCCAAAGTTTTGGGGTGCACACCGTAGATAAATTGGAGACCTCTCAAAAGCTTCATCAGATTTTATGTTTCTGTTTAGCACACGATCAATATTTAAGGAAGAGCGCGGTTCGTCAATTTGCTATAACGAAAAGGTCCACAATCCAATTATTGACAAATAGTACCATGACGTTAGTGCTTAATGCCTCTTTGTGCGTGCGCGTTTTCAGAACTATGTACTAGGCACTTTGTCCCTGATGGCACTTGGACCCTAGCGCTGTCACCAGGCGGAAAATTTGTAGGCTTAAACCCCTGGCGTTTCGCCTCATCAGTTTAGGATTTTGAGATGCTAACGTAGGGTCTGGAGTAAAAATATATTTGCCAGGCTGGTACATGTAAAAGCACGGAGATAAACCTAGTCTGAAGAACAAGTCCGTACTCAAAAGAATTCTATTGAACAAGCAGGTGTAAGGACACAGAAAAACGTAACAAAGAAATTTATTGCATAAATCCAGTAATACTTTCCAGTCAACAAAGGACTTCTCAACTTGTTTAAATTATTTGCATAGCCTAAATACACCCAGTATATTAAATTACACTCAGAAAAATTAAAGAACTTTGTAAACCACCTTTTTACCCAATGAAAAATTCATTGACGGTTGTCTTTGAAAGAAATAAAGTAATACCTCATTTGGAGCCTACGTCACACTTTTCTTTCTTCTGCTGTAATAACGCCAAGACAAACGTTGTTTCCACTTCTATATTTCTACAGCTTTCTAATGTCAAATAATTGCAGAAGTATTGTCGAATTTAATGCTTAATTAACATTAGGCCGGTGACGTTTATTCGGTGTATGAAGTTAAACAGTTTTCCGGCATTGAATATTTGTCGAAATTGTGTCACTATCCAACGTCAGGTCGCAAACGTTGTTTCAACTATGATGTCCACAGTTACCCATTTTTTTGGACACATGTTGGAGAACGAAGTCGATTTTCCAACAACCAACATGATCTACTCGCCGTCATATGCCAAACAATAATGCCCGAGTTTCTTTATGTGGATTTGTGATGTGAGTTTTCACTTTTCTCCCCTGGCCTTACATCTTCTCTAATGAATTTTTCCTCGAAATGTTTTAGGAGCCCCGAAATCTTATTTGAAAACCTAACAATTCCTAAAATTTGCGAGATTGAGTTGCAGAGAACTAATGTAGTCTGTCACGTTATTTTAGACAGTTTCGGCGCCGGCCGGCCGGTATAGAGAGCACCAGCACGGAACCATTACTGAGCCTTGCCTTGCAGTGGAGCCCCTGCTGGTTGACCCCGGAGACCCTTTGCCCGCGGCGTCGGCGCAGTAGATTTGTTTACTTGGTTTTGGGTGGCGTTGCCATAGGAAAAGGACAGGTCCTGCTTGTGAAGGAAAGGACGGTGGTGTACGAAATAAACAGTGAAAAACGCTCCGAGATACTAAAACAACCTGTGTGGCTCCAGTTTTGTCAGGTGTATAAAAGAACCCGAGACGGTCGATGTCACATTGGTGGCAGCGGCGGCACGCCTGACGAGGAAGAAAAAAGGTGAATTTTTCAGGGAAAATGTTGCTGTTAATTTGTCATGAATATTCCAAACTACATTGAGTCGGCATCTGATCCGCCACATGGCAGGGATATGGGTTGTATAGGGGCCTCGCAGTCTGTAGGATTCCCAGCTAGCCCAGTTTGGCAATTGATGAGCTTGAATCCTTTTTCAAAGACAGCTTGGGAACCGTTGGCGCTGAGGGAGGATTTTATGGGTGTAGGACGGTAAGAGTTGAGTAGAGCAAAAAGGTAACTTACGATTCATGCTTTTTCCCCGTTGACACTTCATGTGCCGGTACCCCCCGGGAACTGCCCTGTGCTGTGGTCGGCTGCGCAACGGACAGCCCGACCCATTTGGAGCACAGTCGAGTTGTGCCTGTCGAGTTGTGCAGCGGGGGCGGGACTTTATGTGGGGACACAAGTACTAATTTGTTTGGGGAACTGCCCTATGCTGTTGACAATGTCACGGCAGACACAACGTTCCATTCGGAACGCACTCGAGCTGTACCTGTCAAGGAAGCGGGGGTGGGGCTTCAACCGGAGACACTTTACACCGAAGAAGTGCAAGCGAGACTCCCTGGAGGATCATCCCATGTTGCAGGCAGCACCGCAACAGTAGCTTTGTTCTACCAAGATGCGCCTGTCGAGGCGGCCAGGGGGTCTACTTTGAGACACCCACAGGTGCCCGCCATTTTACCCAGACAATGCAAGGGAAACCGTCGGCGCTGCTCTTCACACAAGTCAACGATGCGGGGCCGTCAGCGCTGCCTCGCCCACATGTCAAGGGCGCACAACTGCCATGTACTGAAGTCATTGGGGCCGTACCACCTCTGCTAGCCCACATCTGTGCTTAGGGGTTGGAGCTGGCAATCGTGCAACAATTTACCACAGAAGCTAGCCTTCCGGGGACAAAAGGTTCGAGATCAATGATGCTTCCAGTTAAGTTTGACGGGAGCACTTCATGGTCCGACCACCTAATCCACATTGAGAGTGTCGCGGCGATCAACCATTGGAGCGAGGTGGGGATAGCGATGTTCCTGGCATCTCATCTAAGGGGCACGGCCCAAGAAGCCCTAACAGATATGATGCTGGGGGCACCGAAGGACTATTCGTTTATCCTCGAGGACTTCGAGCAGTGGTTCGGGGAGGCAGCACAGGCTCCCCTACATCGGGCTCAACTGTCGATGGGTACAAAGGGCCGCGAAGAGCCCTTAATCAGTATGGGGCAATCCATTCGTTGTCTAGGTGCTAAGAGCTACCTGAAATTACCAGCAAAGGCTCGCGGAGGTTTGGTGGTGGAAGCTTTCCGTATTGCCCTGGGGGATGAACATTTGCAGCAACGCATTTTTCGAGGAGAGCGACCACGCTGACTGAAGCTATCACCTTTCAACTGAGATGCAGGCTTTCCTTGAGTCTCAGGCGCATAACCGGAAGGGAAAACCAGGGACCATGGACATCAAAACAGTAGCCCAGCCCGCTCCAGTTCCAGCCGAGAGACAAGGACTGCCTGCTGGGAATGGAGTTGTATTAGGTCCCTAGCCTAGGGTGGAATGCTTTGGCTGCCAGGAGCCGTGGCACATCAAGCGAAATTGTCACCATTAGAGGTGGAGGCCGACCTCTGACCGTCAAGGAGAACCGAAGGAGGCGCCCTTAAGACGTCGCGCTCCAGCTAGGGAGCCTGCCCCTCTCCCAAAACCAGCCCTGGTTGGAACACCTAGGGAGGGAAAACTACGTGATGGGTAAAGCAGCTGGGAAGCCGATGTGTTTCCTTTTAGATACCGGAGCAGCAGTGACTTTGATTTCAGAACGGTCTTCAGTTCCTTTCCCCAGGTGCAAAGACCAAGCCTAATTTCTTTGGCGCCGACTTTCAGAACGGCAGATGGCAGCTCCATGCCAGGTAAAGGTTTGACCGACTTCGATTTGCAGGTTGTGGAGCAACTCATGAATCATGCCTGCACTATATCCGACACTGAAACGGAGGTGATTCTGGGCATTGATTTCCTGTCCAAATACCACTGCGAGTTGTGGTTGGGCTACAACATAGTTATATCAACGGGAAGACAGTTCCCCTAGAAGGAAGCAAGCATCAACCTATGGTGGCAGGGGTGCAGGTGAGGGAAAACATGGTGGTGCAAGCCGGACACGAGGTTATCATTCCGGGTACTACGATAGGGTGGTTTAAGCCAGCTTGGATGCAACAGACAGTTGTCAAGTTGCGGTTGCCACCAGTTTGGTTGACACAAAAAAATGGAACCGTGCCAGTGAGGACATTCAATCCAACAGCTGACCCCGTGACGTTCTTTAAGAGGAGTCAGCTAACGTTGTTCTCACCGACAGACGACTTCGACATTGCCCTTTGGCCAACACTGTGCAGGGGAAAGGAGCCCGAGAGGAAGTGCCATCTTATTTGCAAGACCTCTTATACCGAGGAGCTATGGGCCTTACCAGAGGCGAGTGCTCCAAGCTAGCAAAGTTTCTCTCTCAGTTTTCAGAGGCTTCACTAGGCCAAACGGCAAGCTTGGCTAGACAAATTTGGTCCAGCATAAAGTCAATACGGAACCACGACACCTATACAACAACCACCGAGGAGGTTGCCGCTCCATAAACAGGGGGAAGCAGGGGAACGGGTAGACAAAATATTGCAGCAGAGTGTAGTAAAGCCCTCTAGTAGCCCGAGGTCCTCGCCAGTGGTGCTCTTCAGGTGGGACAGCTCTGTTCGTTTTTGCGTGGACTACAGGAAGGTCAACAAGGTGACACTGAAGGATATGGGATTGAAGACAACCTTGATGCCTCGAGTGGATCGAGGTGGTTTAGCACTCTTGATTGGGCCAGTGGTTACTTGCAGGTCGGTATGGACAAGGAGGACAGGGAGAAGACAGCTTTTTGAATGCAGAACGGGCTGTACCAGTTCACTGTGGTGGCCTTCGGACTCTGCAACGCCCCCAGCAACCTTTGAGCGCCTGATAGAGCGGGTGCTGAGGGGACTGTAATGGCAGATTGCGGTTGTCTCCTTAGATAACGTCATAGTATGGGGAGCCGAATTCGAAGAGCACTACCAGAGACCGGCTACTGTGCTGGAGCGTTTCGAAGACGCTGGTTTGAGACTCAAGCCGAAGAAGTGTGGCCTTTTCAAGAAGGAAGTGTCCTTTCTGGGTCACCTGGTGTCAGCCAAGGGGGTAAGAACAGACCCAGAGAAGGTTGCTGTCATCAGAAACTGGCTGCGACCAGCAAACCTGACGCAAGTCTGGAGTTTCCTGGGTCTTACGTCCTACTATCGGCGCTTTATCGCAGACTTTCCGCAATCGCTCGTCCTCTTCATGCTCTCACCAACAAGAGTCAGAAGGCTCCTGGTCAGTTGACTGTCAGTCGGCGTTCGAGCACCTCAAGGACGCACTGGCTACGGTACGAGTGT